TCTGTGTGCGTCTGTGTGCGTGTGTGTGTGTGTGTGTGTGTGTGTGTGTGTTTCAGGTGTCTGTTCTGTACCTGTTTGTGTGCGTGGTCGTAGGAGTTGATGTGGTTGTCAAACTCCTGGTGTCTCAGGTACTGCTTGTCACACAGCTCACAGTAGAAAAGAGACTTCAGATCTTCCACTGAGCAACCTAAAGCCCTCTCTGCACATTCCTGGAGGAGAGAGGAGGAGAGAGGAGGAGGATGAGCAGAGGAATCTGAGAAGAATATCCAGAGAAAGAGAGTCGAGGCAGAGGCATAGAAACAAAAAAGGTTTAGAGGGGGGCAGCGTGGGGTGAAGCGGCTGCAGAGTTAGCCATTTAGAACAAATCTGCATCCAGGAGACATCAGCCATAATGTGCTCTGCATTAAACTCTTAAACGACATCCTATTAAAGCAAGTTGCCTTCTGCTTGGAGGGTGGACAGGGGAAACACATCCACCACCTGTACCTCAGTAATACTGTATGAAACCTATGTGTGGAGGTGCAGTGGCTGAGTGCAGAAGGAATGGCAGCTGATAGACAGCTAATGTGACCAACTAAATTGCACAATTTAGACTTTTTGTACACCAGTACAAATTGTGCAAAAAAAAAAAAAAAGAAAGTTCAAATACAAAGGCACGCAAATGGCACGAGGACCGACAAATACACATGCACCGAGCAAATGGCACCGAGACCTGAGGGGATAAATTGCCTGTCTGCATGCTCACATCAGCCAGAAGACCCGGCCTTTTTTTTTTTTGGAAGTCCAGAAACTTGCACAGTGTTGTGTACAATAGATGTGCGCTCTTGCTTGTGTGTAGGTGTGTATATATATATGTGTGTTTGTGTGTGCATTCATGCCATGCTCTGCTTCAGAATGTAATTTCCCTCAGGCTAGGGGCTGCCAATAAACACTATTGAATTCTGTTCTACACTGACATGATGGGAATTTAATTTGAGGTTGTCACTTCTTTCTCTCATTCCACCCTTCTTTCTTTCCTCCCTTCCTTCTCTTCCGCCACTCATGACTTGATTTTGTGCCGTCCAAGGCTCTCTTTTTTGTTACACTCCCTTTTTTTTACTCAATGACTTTCTCTCTTACTTCATCTCCAGTTTTATTTCCTCTCTTTGCACATTTCTTTCCTTCTTTCTCTCTTTCCAGCACGTTTTCCCTCCCTCCTCTGTTAAGTTCAGAGAGACGGAAACTTTTCGGCCCCACAGTGGGCCTGCAAACAGGAGCAGATGCGTGGAGGAAAAGAGCGGCGTTGTCAGAGGCGAGAGGAGGAAATGACCCTCGCCTCGCAAACATCGGCACACACATCAGCACTTTCCCTGCGAGTGTAATGATCATCATCGGCAGCCACTCGTTAAACGCTAAAGCTCCATCCCTGGGAGATGTTTTAACTGAACACACACAGGTGTAATTAGAAAGCCATTGTCCTTCCTGTGATCCATCTATAGGTGGGTGGCTTGTGCACACAATGGGTGAAAATGAGGGGAGGCTGACGAAAAGCCTGACGGAGGCTCTCCTGGACTAAAATCAACCAAGATGGCACTGATATGTATCGATCCGTCGACTCCCCGAGTGTGTGTGCAGCTTTGCATCGATCCGTCCTGCGAGCTTAAGTCACTTCCAGGAAATGATCCAATCACAGAGGAGGGGGCGGGGTGTTCGTTTGAGTTATACGGATGGCGAGGTGATGGAGACAACGAATGTTTTGTCAAGAGTGGAGATGAATTGTGTCGTATGGGGTGCCGTTTGTAAAGTTACACAGTCAAAAATTACCACCAATATTTTTGTTTTATTTAAACTTTTATAAGAAAAAAAAGA